CTTAAGCATAGGCCCCCCAGAGTAACACACCCTCCCCTTATCCAGTTCTTCAGTAGTTGGATCGACTCAATGCTCGATCCAAGTAGAGAGTGTCGCTGTGAGCTGACTGTAAGCTTCGCAAGACTAAATGCTCTCTCACAATCGGTTGACATGGCCGGGATTGCAAGGACATCCAATGCAAATCTACTTAAACGCGGAAAAGCATTGCTATGATCAATCCACCAAAGAACAGGGTCATCTACCTGTTCCGGCTCGAGCCTATAGTATCGTTCAAGCTCACTGCTTGTTGCCGAGAGCTTAGGCTGCCGACTTTTCATCCACTGCTCAAACCTACTTTGCTCAGGTCGGGGCGTCAACGAGGTGGCCAAAATACTCTCAGAAGCATCATCGTCGTTTTTCGAGTACCAACGCTCAAAGTAGGCTTTAATGCCATCCTTTGCATCCCGAAGCCATTGTAGCTGCTCTAGGGAAGTCTAATTAGTCTCCAACCACCGGAGGCCAGGGTCCGGATTCAGAACAACAGAGGCCGCAAATAGAGGCGACCGCCCCAGAAGAGTATAATATTCGTTCAGCTTAATCCAAGCAGCGTTTATGCTTGCCCTGATACTAGCACGCTCTTGACCCTCCATACTGGCAATGTTACTTACGGAGCGAGCATCGTCCTGCAGGTAGTCTCCTCGAGAATGTACAGGAAGAGCACCTTCGTTAAACAATGGGCTGGTGGATAGACAAGCCGAAAGAACCGTTTCGCGACGGCGGTGTAACGGCGTGATCTCAAACCCTTGGAGTCGCGATGGTAGTCGTGACTGGCGCAAGGGTCGCTCTCGAGTTTGCCCTACTACAGATGGCCGCGCAGACATTGACTTCGTATCTGCAACCGATTCAAGCTCCTCCCCATGAGCTCTACGTCTTTCCTCCGTAGCATGATTTGCGGTTTCATCCTCGGAGAGAAGCCTCCAGTCTTCTAAATGTTCCAGAATATACTCCATCCCTATCATGACCTCCCAGAGCCGGCCGTGGCCTCTACTTATACCCCATCCTTATATTCTCATTATCATATTGTAGATCGGCTCTAGGATATGACTAACTTCCCTAAGGACCTTCTAGTCATCAGAGGTCAGGATATCGGCCGCGGGAACCCTTTTTAAGGCATTTACTTCTAGCCCTAAATCTTAGATAAAGCTATTAAGCTCAGACTGCTTGATCAAAGCGCGCTCGATCATTATGTAGGTCGAGTTCCACCTCGTAGCGTTATTCTATATCACTTCCAGCTCAGCTATTAACTCTTCTACAAGCTTACAGATGTCTGCTTCCTCCTGTTCCCTGGCATGCGCTTTAAATGATCTAATCTGCCTCCTGAAAGTAAGTAGCCGGCTTTAGTGTGAGTTACTCCGATTAATAAAGTGGCCAAATATCGAAATAAAAGCTAGTCTATTTGGAGATATCTACAGATCGAAGCTGATATATATCTGTGTGACGGCTTCGTTAAGCTCCTCCCTAATGGCAGCTTTCTTTAAAGAGAGTATATCCTCTAATTCTTTCTTAACTAAAGTTTAACCCTAGGGTATCTAAGCATAAAGATCAGAGTCTAACTAATAAAACAGCTCTTATAGGTAAGTACTTTCAAAGGTAGAGAAGGGAAGATTAGAATTAATAATATAGCTAATTAAGAGTTCTCTTATCTATGCCATCTTCGCTTAGGGATGAACCAGGGAAGAAGAGGCTAGCCGTTTCTTAGATATACTTCTTTAAAGATCCAGAACTGACGAATTGTTAAATGAACCCGGTTTGAATGTCTCGGTGATCCTATAAGCTCTGAAACCGTTAGTAATAGCCTGGAGATAGGAAAGTCCGATAACTTATAAAGGCAAGCTTGTGCCGAGGATATTGACTAAGTATTAAAGAATCGTGGCGCGCCCTTATCATCACAGAGTTAGCAACACCAAATATCTCCGCTAGATATATTATCTCTGTTCAATTCCGCGAGGAACTAGCTATGGTTTCCTATCTAGCTTTGCCGGCCTCTGCTCTTCCTCCTATCTATAAGCCTTGCAATAATAAAATGTCTTTAGCCCTAGGTAATCTTATAAAGGTTATTAATAGAAGAATCAGTAGTCGAGGCCAGAGCTAAAGCTATAGTATACTGCTTGGCAATACTCTTAAGTCAAGACCTAAGATAAGGAAATATAGGTAGTAGTAATAGCAATAGGCTGCTAATAATACTGCCTTTTAAAGCAGTTTTAGATATTATAGATTATAGTTAGTAGAATATATAAATAGCTTGAAACTAAATAGCTAAGATGCGTTCCTAATAACCCAAGGCTTGCTTTATTCCTCTAGCTAAATCTATATCGTATTAGAGCGAGAGGTAGAAAAAAGGGGTAACCTGCCTTCGTATTTGCCTCTACCTAAGACCCCGGCAGGCAAGGGTCCAGGACCAATCAGCTTGGCTGACCTCTATAACATCGTGGCTTCCTAGGGAGAGTCACGTTTTCCGGAGCCGGAATATACAGATAATCCGGCGTATCTAGGGTAGCTGCTCTCCATTCACATATGTCAGATGTACAGGCGTTGTATTTGAATTGATTGATCTGACAAAATTCCATATCTGATTTGAATTGATTGATGCGGCGCTTCGGATGCTTAATTTTGGATCATTTTAAAGGGTTTGCAGGGTAAGAAAATATTTGCTTCATCATTTGACTGGGACATCCTTAATGGTTGAGAATCAATTGATCAAATGTAAAGAGAAGAGAATGAGGGATTTTGTAACACATGCTTGTCTGTGACATAAGCTTATCATGTACGTTAACCTTAACTGTACAAGAAATCCCTTGACTTTTAAGTAAGTGACTAAAGCTGTTTTCTTATACCCTCCTGTAGGTGGTATTATCTTCGTCTGTAATGTCTGGACCTACACCATCGCCTTTTATTAATCCATTAAGGCTATATATTGTAGTGTGGTCACCTCAGCCCCAGAGCGTCAGTATAGCGTTGTGCCTCATTTTTAATGTAATGCTGTATTAAGGTGCAGTTGCAACTGGTGTGCTGCAAAAGTTGCATCTTGAGATATAAAATCTCTTCATTCAGGTCATTCATGCAGCTAGACAGCTCTCTATGGCGTTGCTCTGTAGCTTGTTCATCGAACTGGAGTCTCGAAAAATGCTCCCTCTTTCTCATGCGACATTTGTCGGCAGCGATGCGGTTTCTCTCTTGAATTCGCTTATGTTTTATATGTTGTTTGCGATTAGTCATGCCGCTGCTGACGTTGATCCCATTTCCGTCAGCAACAATCCCTCTCCTCCTCTGATCATCTGTGTTATTGTCTCCTTTGGCATTGCGTCTAGCGGATTCTGAAGCTGCGCGTCCACTGAGCTGCGTCTTCCTCTTACGACCGGGCTTATTGGGTAACTCTTGTGATGACTGCAGCGAAGGAGTCAAGGTTGACAGTGGTTCGTCAGCAACCGTTACCAGGCGATCGTGTGATAGAGTCTGGTTCTTGACGGTGGAGTATATATTGACCCAATGGTCTCCCGAACTAGATTCCCCGTAGAATAACAATTGGTCTTGGGGAACGTAGTCTTGTCTGGATAGGGTAGTGATGCCGACTTCATTGTGGAAAGCACCCAGAAAGGCTGGCGGGTTCATAGACTCCGAGAGCTCCCATTGTGGGTAGGACGGAATGGCCGCGCCGTATACGGTGAGATCGTCTCCAATAGCCTCGTCTGGGGTGTAGCCGACGAGCATTCTCACCCCTTCCATGTACGGAAGGGAGTTCGTATGAGCATCTGCTTTAGAATATCAGCTCATACTGGTCAGGCATGGTTGCAAAAATAAACCTACTATGGCTCATATATCTGCCGAGGGTAGGAACAATGGCGTAACGATGCTCTCTATAGATGGCTATCAGTGGCTTGCTGAATGAATCGATAAGTGTAGAGGTTGGCGTCTAGAAACTTTTTGTAACTTGGTAAAGTCAAGACCTTGGGTTTGAGACGAGTTTTGCGGGAGGTTGATGTGGGTGGAACGGACGTCCTATTGCTTCTGGATTGCCTCCAGCCCCAACCGCTCCAAGCCTAAGGCGCAACCCAGTGGCAACTCAGTGACGCCTGGGTGTGTATGGGTAGCATCAAGGCCCCTGAAATGCGCGGCCCGGATTGAGGAGGCGACCCAGAGAGGGCACCAATGAGCGGTTGGTTTGCCGGCTAAGACCCTTAAGTTTCCGGAACACATGTCTTTATACATCCCGAAATGTCAAAGGGTGCGTGCAGCCTGCAGATCTGAGTTTTAAGTCAATAACTGGTGGGTTATTATAGTGGGGGCTCAACGCTGCATGTCTCGCCAGAATACAACCCCCTCTCCATACTTTGATTGGACAGGAGTCCTCGGAGCGAATCTGGTCGCTGTGATTGGCCACTGGAAACTGGAAAGCAAGATGAAGCGAGGGCTATGACTCGCAATGACGCGCCGCGTCTTAACTCAATCTGCAAACCTCGAGCGTCGCACCCGGAATATGAGGAAGAGAATGAGAGAGTTCGTCTGGGCAGCTGCGTTGGCCAATCAAACCATTACGGAGGCTCCGTAAGCCCAGGCTTAAGGCTAATTGCCGATCAGGTGGTGCCCGAGACATAAGTGTCATTGGTTTAAGCAAGCCATCCCATCAACGGGCTTCCGAGTGCTGGAGTTCCCCAATTGAATACTTTAAGTCGGTCAACGGCAAATAAATCGAATGCCTGCAACGAAAAGGATGACGGGTCTGATGGGATATGCCGCTGATACTGGATGATTTAAAATTGGGGTCTTCAGAGCTGCCAGTCCAGAATGAGACAAACCCACGGCCTCGGCCCATTTTAATTGCTATTTACAAGTACCCTTCAACGTGTGGTTAAATCTCAAGCGGGTAACTTCTCTATCGTTAGACCAATTTAGAGACAACTAATAATACTTACCGCAGGAGGGTTCTTCCTTTCAAATCTGATACCAAACGCATTTGCCAACGCGTCGAAAAAGCATGCATACTAAGGTACCTGCTGTTTTGAGGTTTATCACTGGAGGCTTACCGCAGTCGAAGAGGTTTATCCCCGCACCCTCCCTCGTCGCCCTAGCCCGCCGATTTTCCTTCCCCATCATTTCAACTTTGAAAACCCATCAAATATTTGATCAAAAACACCTTCACCCGAACCCACAAGATCCCACGATTTCGGACAACTGGCAAAGGGAGCCAGTGGCCTCTTAATTTGCCATTACAACTACCAATTCTTCCCAAGATCAAGATGGCTTTTTTTGCGTCCGACGGTATCTGCCCAGCCGATCTCTATCGATTCTCGGACCAGCTGAGAGGAGTGGACAGCTACAACATCAAGCAGCCTTCCCCAGCAACACTAGAGAGAGAATCACTACTAAATTCGCGACAGCGCGGCAACAGCGCAGACGTCAGTACTCAAAGAGGTCCAAGTGTTAATCTACGCACCGCGTCGCACAAGCCGAAGAAGCGGTTAACAAAGAAGATGGCTTATAAGAAGCCGTCTTCCTCAGAAGCATTGAAACAGCCACGCGAGAACCATAACTTGGCTGAGAAGCGATACCGGAGCCGGCTAAAGAACCATTTCGTGTCGCTCGAGGAGGGCTTTGAGGCGATGGCTAAGGAGCGGGACCAGCTACTGAGGAACATCGCTCTAATGTACGAGTTCTCAAATCAAGAGTGAAGCGTCACTATCTGGCAAAGAGCTATATATGTTGCCTTGTAATATTTCTATAATATTTCTATAACGTGTTTGATAAGCGAGCGTGATACTGCACTGTATAACTATAAAAAACCTACCCTATAACATTTTTTTATTATAAATAAAATAGCTAAAAATCTAATAAAATTTATATAGCTTATTTTAAGACTTATATATAAGCTATTAGAATTATAGCTATTTTAGGCTTAGTTTGGAATTAAAGAGTTTTTTAAAAACTTAATTTAAAGTGGAAATAAGACTGGGACACTTGCTTGTCTGGGACACTTGCTTGTCTGGGACACTCGCTTATCAACCACGTTAATATTTCTATAATATTTCTATAATTATTTACGGCTCTAAATCTTGTTATGCTCAGCTAACCGATGTATCCTGCCTAGGCGGTATTCGTTTAGTCATAGTGATAGAACTATGAAAGGGATGGTAGCTGTCCTCCCAGGTTTCAGTAACTTGCTATTGCTTACATGTAAGCAGTGAGCAGGAAATGGTGTCGAACTTTGAGTTTGAGCTGCGTCCATATTATTGCAATCGTCGCAAGACTGTCAGCGCGACACGATCAGCAGCCAGTGCGCGTGACGTACTTCTAAACATGAACCCCACACCCTTCATACTCCAAGCTCTGTTTCCCATTCCCCTTCCAATGGTGCCAGTCCCGCAATCATTGATCGCCCTAGTAAACCGATAGCGGAGGGAGCCATACTAAATGTGAAATCTGGGACAGGACCTGTCCGCTATTGACCACGGCCTGGATGCACAGAAATGTACGGACCAACGACAACCGATTAGGACTCACCAATCATTGCTCCGGCTTTACACCCCCAGTCACTTTTAACGATATCAAAGACAGTCATCTAAGTTTCAAACTAGCAGCAGTTCCGCAGCTCTCAATAGATATGAGTTAATTAACTTAAATAATAAATAAATACTCTCAATCCTACTTTTCAGTCCATCTTAAGATTACATATTTTCCCCCGTATAGCCTACACGGCTCTGCCCCCACCCCCAGTCTTTAATAACGAGATTTGAGATTGTATGGGTTGTGTAAGACCTGCCTAGGCATAGTCGTTGTTTAATTATAGTTATGCTCGATAGTATCCGCCCTTTGTGCCGACGATATGCTGGAAAGTTATACGGGCTATAGACACCAAGTTTCTGTTATATCCTGCATTTCGAGCTTTCCTTTGCCCTGCGTCCTTGACTTCTTAACCTGCCACACCACTACCTCATACACCAGCATTGTCATAGCAGAGGCTGGTATAGCCCCGATTAAGCTAGTGCCCATACCAGAGTATAAGGCACGCCAGCCTTCTTCCCGCAAGATCGTTTCGAGCGTGCTCATAATACCCCGATTTAGTCGGGGAAATCTCTCCCATATTTTCCCTGCATTGCACACCTTTTCGCTTTGTGAGCTACTCCCACGCATCAATAGGCCTCCGCCATCCCTTGCTCTTGCGTGTTCAATTGGCGATGAAGGGTATACTTTCTGCTGCGTTTGTAATCTTGTTCGAACAACTTCGTGTGGATATGTGGCTATAGTTGCACACGCTTTGCTTGCCACGCTAGCTGTGAGTACCCCTAGGATCTGGAGCCATTCCTGGCCTTCATGCCAATTCCCAAGCCCTGATCCAGTCAAGTATATCTTAAACTGCTCATATAATGGAAACTGTACGGCTAAGTGTGTCACCCCAAGCAGAGCTGGAGTTAGTCCTGAATAGAATGAAGCGGCGCCTTCTCGGCAATACATCTTCTGAGCTACGTCTATGGCAGACTTGTATTCTCTCGGAGTATTCTTCGTGGATTTACTTGACTGAGATATGAGTCTGGTTTTGATAACCCATAATGGATTCGTGAATAATATAGAAAAGGTACTTCCAGTAACTGCAGATATGCTTGAGCATACCCAGGTCTGTTGTTGGCCGTTTGGCAGAGGTTAGTACTACCCGCGATAGTTTTGATAGAATGGATAACAAAGGTGACTTACTGAATACTTTCTTTAGCGAATCATTAATCTTATGATATACTGTGAAATATATGGCCCCCCTAGGAATATTTGCTAGCATGGTCGGTCCGAGTCCTTGGTACATGCCAATAAATCCGCCTTCATGCCATATTGCTCGCCCAGTGCCTATGAGCCCTCTCTCTTGGAATGAACGTCGCTTTCTGACAGGGTCAAGCGTCCACAGTTGGAGTCCACCTCTTCCTTGTAGTTTGATTTTCATAACGTCCAGAGGACTTGTTACGATGCTAGAGGCTATCGCACTGGTGGCTCCGGCAAGACTTCGAATCGAGTTATCGGAGACACGGACTGTCAGGTGTTCCAGGTGGGAAAGGCGAGGAGCTGGTTCATGTGGACGTTTATCGTGCTCATGAATACTGATACGTCCCTTTTCGGCGCTCTGTGAACTACCAGAGGATGGCTCGTGGCGCTTGGAAGGCATTATGGCTTGTGAGAGTGAACACAATGTGAAGTCGTGGTGCAGATGGTCATTTAGTTCGCATCGTATCATTTCCAAAGCAACAAAATATGTAATTATACCTATCCCTTCGGTGAGGCAAGGACTTCCAACTGTGTAGTGCCGGTTTGTAGCCTATTCACTATTGTGAAGTGATTTCTCCTTGGTTTCGGTTATGAGCGGAACAGCTGATAACACCACATGTCATGCCATTAACCAGTTCAATATGAAGTGGAGACGTATCTACCGTACATTATTTAACTAAGCGTCACAAAATACATGGCTTATGTAATTTTCGCTCGGCCGGTGCGTACTAAAGAAGCAGGTTCCAGGTGATACTGACCTTGTATGTTGCCACCAGTGACGTAGTTTTGCAATAGAGGAGGAGCAGGATGCAACCATCTGATGTCAGGTTGCAATCGATCGCTCCAGACCATAAGAATATACACCACTGTCCTTCCATGCTTACTCTCCCTGACATATTTATTATGTAAGTCTCCATGCTACCCCTCTGAGACAACTATAGCGACACCCCCCCTTCCTTTGAGATGTCAAGCGATAAGACTTTTTTTTCTTCCACTAGGGCTAGTGCTGGCTTGCTACAAAATACAGGGCCCTCGAGATATCCGCGTCTAAAGCCAAGCGTGCATCTCCTCTGCTATTCCACTTCTAATTTCTAATTATCACCAACTTCGATCTACCGCAATTATAATCAGTCTAAAGGGGATTATATCGATAAAATGGACGACCCGTTATGGACATGGCCAGCCTGGAAATTCGGCATGAAACAAGAGGATTTGTTTACCAAGCTCCACGACCAGTACAATACCTACACGATCCCCATCCAAGATGCTGAAGCTTTTTATTGTGACATAGCCGAAATATCTTACAAAGCGCAGTCGACAGCCGAATTTCACTATTTAGCTAACTATCGCAGACAACAACGTCTCTCCGAATTAAATAAATCTCTTGAATCCGCAAGTCTTGAAATCATTGGAAACCCAAAGCTTATCAAGATGCCTCAGTGGGAACATGCAGTCCGGCTCTTCCAAACAAACTCTTTGGACTCCCTCGTCCGATACTTCGCTTCTTACCTCCCCACCGACCACATTTGGCATCCGCCATGCCAAGATTCAGCCCTTGCCGCCACTCACGCATTTTCCACTTCTCCTTTACCGAAAAGACGGTGCAAGCGCCACAAAACGAATGAGGCGGTCGGCTCCGGGAGACAGACCTTGGTGTCGTCGTCGATGGAGCTTGGCCGCCTTCCAGCGAAAGACCAACTTCTGGCGTCCGACAAAGCCTTGGAATCTACTTGTCCTGCTGCATTTTCCTCATTTTCAGAAAGGGCCATTAAGCATACTCGACCCCATGAACACAGCTCCTACATCAGCCATGGGGTAGCCGTGTTGACTTCTGGTGATGGCATGTCGACCATGTCAGATTTCGATACATTTACAAGAGCTCAGTACAGGATTAAAAATACACTCAACGAGACAGTACGACCTGACAAGAGATTATCTACTAAAATATCTCTCAAGCAGGTTGACCTTGCAAGCAAGCATTCGGGAGGTCAGAGAGTGCGTTGTGTTAATTCACAAGTGAGCGCATTCCCTGAGACATTGATATCTTCACCCCCAGATTTATCACTTCCAGTGTCTTTACAGATTCCAGTCGCATTAGATAGCATTATTCAAGTTTCTGCTGGCGTTACCGTGGGATTGAAGCGCAAACGTTAAGCGACAAAAACTCTTAAGGAAGCTTTTTCGTCTTCACATATTCATATTATACCTTAAAAAATCACAAAATCTCGTTGAAATTAGTATTGGGAGATCCAAGACTCCCTCTTTCCTTAGAATCCAGACTATCTGTCTGAAAATCCTAAATTCAAGTGTTTAGAGTCCAGGATGAAATCATTTAGAGATATAAACTCAAGAAGAACAGTCATCTCAGGATTTAATAAAAGTTGAATAAATATAAATGTTCCATTTACCACTGATGCGCAATGTGAACAACAATTAACGCATTATTAATTAGAGCCAGATCAACTCTTTAATCGAGCATAAGCTTCGGCAAACCCGAAGATCTTTGAATCCCGAGCACTGTACCCCCGGAGAACCGTACTAGCATGTGGCTTATAGTATAAAGAGACGATAAAGTAGGTTGACATCAGGATGATGGTGATAACGGTGCGAAAGGAGCTAGCACCCCACAATAGGACACATGGTACGTACGTAGTTGACACATGCCTTGATGCCCGTACTACGTCACCTGCTCTCAAATACTGGGTCTAACACCGACCCCTCTATTTTCAACGAAATGTTTTTGAGGATTACTATGCCAATAGGAACCGACAATTAAATACACCTCAACCTGTTCCCTTTTTCAATCACTCACTTATCCATAGTTCCAAATTATTATCATGGACCAGCAAGAAACCTCCGAGCTCAATACAGGGAACAACAACCGTCTCTTAAATCGATATGGAATAGTTCCTAGCAGAGGGAAGCTTCTTCATCACCAGTTAGAAGTTAGTAGATATATTCTGTCTATAACCAGTAAGAATCAAGCTGACTCAATATTCAATGGAAGAGGATGAAGTATTTCGATTCGGGCGATTTTTCCCCTCATGCAAGCTTAGAGATCTTCTGATATCGGGACTGTCGCAACTGGTAGCGAACACCCCATTCGACGGGATATATCGATCCCTACATGTTCAGTATCAGGCTCTAGCAATCTCGATGAAAGTACCGATCAGTATTTATTAGCTGAGGAGAAGACTGGCGAGCTGAAGCTTACTGCCCAAAGTCACCTTCAACAAGAGACGGAAGCCCAGCGAGAGAACGAGCGTCGTGAAACAAAGCAGGAACATAGCTTCTAGATGTGGGCCGCCATGGCTTAGGTAGCCGACCCGCCTGGTTAGGAAACAGAAACTTAATAGCATCAGAGGATACCCATCTGTTACATGAGAGGGTTCAATATGCCGAGAACCCTAGCGCACTTTCATCGCAATAGAAAATCTACAACTTACACAAAGTCATAATGTTTACAAACGACATAGCTACTATATGTTACAAATATACTGGCTTTGGCTATGTTTCCAAGCTCCAACTCAGTGTCTCGTTCTTCCGAGAGATGATGACAGTCATTACCGATGGAGGGCCATCAACAAGGCACTCAAATATATTCACCGAGACAAGATGGAGGGAGCTGTACTATCACTCGTATAGTAAATGATCTCATAACCGGCGTAGAATCAATCCTAGATTCAAGTTCCTTTATGTTTTATCACCTGATGCCCTCTGTTTCAAAATGATGTGTCGAAAATCCAAGTAGTTCTCCACGCCCTGCCGCCCAACTGCTCGAATGCATAGCAGAGACATCTTGCCAATAATGCCAGGAACCTGGGTTAGAAATTTAAGAAATGCTTAAAGTTGAAATAAAACTTACACTGCTTCTTAGACACCTAGTCTAACACACGTCAGATCTTACTTGGGGTTGAGATATGAACAGTGGCAAATAAATGATCAAGCTTCTACCCGCTTCCAAGTATACCCCGAGAGATGGCTCAGCTTAAACCCCCAGATTGCTTTTCGTAACTTACGTACGCAATACGGATCTACTTGCATCGCAGCCTCAGATAATCCTTTATCGTGATGGCACGCCGTGGTCAGGATCAAGCCAGAATAGTTAGATAATGCTACTGCGTCCTCGGCAAACTCATCATCTCTTTCACATGCTAGGTTTAGCACGTGCTTAAACAAGGCATTTGTAAGTGGGGTAACGTCAAGTGCAAGGTCCCAACAAATCGACTTAACTAAACTCAACAAAAAATAATACTATTATAAGGCTAAAAACTTATTAAGATATGGATGTTTTTTTAGCATAAGAATCACAATTCTACACTCCATAGAAACAGTGACCGCCTAAGCTAGAACATTAAAACATACATTTTCCCGGTGACGCTGCCTAACGATATATCTCCGCTACCATGGCGGGAACATCTCTCTGGGACTACATCTTCATTCGCGCATCCATATTTCTCTTACACCTTATCGCACCACTTAGCGTTACTTATTCATTAGTCAGCCTACTAGCCTGCCTTCCATTTCAGTTCCCGCGAGTACTACAGGCTTGGCTCTCTCTGGAGGCTCTTTTCTATTTGGCTATCTACCTACCGCTGAATAAATACCACCAGAGGGCCGCAAAACACCCCGTCCCGCCCTGCCGCGCCGATCGTCGGAAGTTATTCCTAAAATGCCACAATAATATTCCCGACCCGGCTCAGTACCTAAGAAAATGGTTCCGGAATGCGCCAGTTTCCGAGATTAAGCGCGATAATGTCAAGGACTTCTTCCGGTGGGCATTCTTAAACACAGGAGACCATGACTCGACCTACGACGAGGAATTAGAAGAGTATACTCAAGAGATAGAGAAGCTGCTAGGCAAGAAGCTAGAGCCTGGCCGCGGAAACGCCAAATGCCTCCGGTTAACTCTTGAGAAGGTAGAGATGTTGCATCGGAGCTTAACGTGGTATCTAGTAAGTTACTCACATGACTATGCGCCCAAGTACTGGCTCATATACCCCAGGTTGCTAACTCTGTTCGTACTACCCTCTAGTGTGTGTTTGTTGTCGACGCCATAGCGTCTATCTCTTTACGATACCACTCGTTCAACTTTCATCGCACGTCGTTTTCGCAGTTTCTCACTACCTTTCCCCTACGTCTTTTCACTCTGTTTGCGACCTGCACCTCCCATGCTAACAGGCTTACTTACTGGCACCGTCCACATACGTCCAAGACAAGGCTGCCTATTCTATTCGTTCACGGCATCGGCGTGGGGCTTTACCCATACATAAACTTCTTAGCCGACATCAATGCCCATGATGCCGGGAATTCTTCAGATGGGCAGGTTGGCATCATCGCTATAGAAATTATGTCGGTAAGCTCTAGGATAACATACGAGGCAATGCTGAAAGACGAAATGTGCGATGAGATTCGGCGCATATTGACCGCACACGGGTGGGAAAAGTGTGTCTTGGTATCACATTCGTAAGTACCACTCCTAAAGTGACTCCATTCCCTTACCCATTGACATTGACGGTGGAAAGATACGGAAGCGTGGTTGGCGCGCAACTCCTTCGTAGCCCGGAGGTCTCGCAGCATATTGGCCCTGCATTGTTTATTGACCCCGTGTCTTTTCTACTTCATCTACCTGACGTGGCCTATAATTTTGTATGCCAGCTCTGTCCCCAAATTGACTGATGATACTGGCTAAACTCTAATGCTTTAGATATGTAGACGGCCAAGTCAACCTAATGAGTATCTACTCTCCTACTTTGGTTCCAAGGATATAGGCATAGCTCATACGCTATTCCGCCGTTTCTTCTGGGCTGATAACTTATTGTGGAAGGAGGATATCCGAGATCATCCCGTGACTGTGGTCTTGGCCGGCAGAGATAGTGTGATCGACACCAAAGCAATACGGGCATATTTGCTGGGGTCAGACAATTGGATCTTAGAAACTACGGACTTAATGGATCTCGGTCAGAAAGGTGATAGATTGGATGTGATCTGGTTTCAAGATCTGGACCACGGCCAGGTCTTTGATGAAAAGAGGACGAGAAGCAGTCTGGTTGAGATTGTCTGGACGTTTTGCAAGAAGTAGCCGACACAATTCGTCCTAATTTACAGTGGTAGGTTGAAATAAGGTCATCGAATATGATGAGCAAGTTCTCCCGCTTTGCATAGAGGTTAACCTCCAATTTCCTATAAGTGGTCGGTCAGATCCTCCTGGCCTTAGCCGCCGACTGAGTCCTCGCGAAGCCCATGGATGTCTCCCGCACTCCCCGATAGATCGACCAACAAGGTATAGATAGCCAAAAAGAGTTGCACAGGGCATAATAATGGCAACCTGGCAATTAGCCCGTAACTTTTCCCAAAACTCCAGTAGGGATAGCCCAGAATGTCAAAGCGATGATAATATAGAGTCCCACAAGCTGCAGCCTGCTTAGTACACTGTAGGTATAGAAGTACAGGGGAACATAAACTCACCATGGCTCCCTCCAAATAGTTAGTTTTCCCATCCTGCACCGTGGCCGCCACGACTAAAACAGATACAGCGAAGATAACTGTCTCAACTGCCCCAAGCATCAGCAAGCGTGTTGAAAGTTGCTTATGTGCTCATGATAACTCACAAATATTGAAATTCAGACCCATCGGCACATTTATTGCCCAACCCAAGACAACCAGCAACGGCGTAACCAGCAGTGCAATCTGGATGCTGGATCCGATTGCAACACCCGTGGCCTTGTTTCCACGTAACCAGTCAGATCACAATAAAACAACCAAGTAAGGAAGCAGGTTGCCACTCACCAAATCCATCTTATTCCTTACAGCCATCACACACGCCGTGGCGTGCTCGGCTGCGTTGCCGACAATGGGGATCAGGATCAAGCCAATAAAGCTCTTGCTAGTATGCGCGTCTTTGGCGATGCTGTCGATACTGCCAACCAAGTAGTCTGCACAGAAGGAGATAACAACGGTCACGGCAACCAGTACCGCTGCAGCAGACCAAGGATTCATTACTGATTCAGGGTCGTCCCCTCCCTCGTCAAGGGAGGAAGTTCCACCACTCCCCTCGCTGAATAGATTCTTGTGCGTCCGCAACTGGAAGCACAGATACAGGGCGTACAGGATAAGAAGCATGATGGCCGTCCCGCGTGAGTGCCAAAGGATGGATTCGGTTTTACCATGCTGATCCGAGCTGTCGAGGATGCTGTAGAGCTACATGTCGACATTAATGTTCTTCCTGATGCTTATTGTATCACAATTCCTGAGGACTGGGCTCTAGAAGGCTGCTTACAGTGGCGGGAATGATCATTGAGGCGGCTGACAGCGCTAACAAGGAGCATGTCGTTTGTGCCATCGCAAGATAACCTTTAGATTTAATTAAATAAATTTTGCAACAGAAAGGTGGCCACTAGTTACTGAGCCCTGACCATCGACATCCAACACCCGCTCCAATATCGTCTCATCGGGACTGTTCACTGATTACTGCAAGTAACACTGCTGTTGGCACAGATATCGTGACGTAGCCTAGCTCCTGGACGTAGATAGGGAAGAATAGACGTTCAGTACTATTTGTTATAAGAATGCTCGCTAATGGCAGTTCAATTTATTCTATAGCAAAAAATGATTTACTTACTTAAAGACTGATCCAGAAGTATGAATGGGTACTAGACTGAGTACGAGAAAAACATCAAGTAGTGATAATCTAAAGCCAGGACTCGAGGTACGAGGTTGCACCTCCTCAACAGTTTTGGAACAGTCACTTAATTAATTTGCCGTCATTCTATGGCGTCATTAGCATTTCAAGGCAGTATGCTCATAAACAACATATGCTTATGGAGGATTTTTGAGCATTGCAATCCAACAGCGGGGGCGTGTTACCCCTCTGCCTACGGGTTAGCCCGTAAGGCGGTATATGATCTCATTGGATACTGTCATGGCTATCGACTTATTTGTTACGGACCAGTCGTCATGCCTTTCACTAACCCCGCCTTCTCAACATTTCAACGTTGTCTTTTGTTCTCTCACGACGAACAGATTTATCTCATCGGCGCTTAAAACCACCACCACTGCTGAATTGAGCTCACTATGCGTGAAATTGTAAGTCCGCTTCTAATCCTGCCTTGGAAGCTCCACAAACTAACCTTGAACTCCCTTTTCGCTATAGGTGCATCTCCAAGCTGGCCAATGTGTGAGTATCACGCCCTTCTCGTTACATTTCTTTCTCATTTCTTCCTAATGCAGCATAGTAACCTCAATAGGGCAACCAAATCGGCTCTGCCTTCTGGCAGACCATTTCGGGCGAGCATGGTTTGGATAGCAGTGGCATGTAGGCAACCCATTCGAAACGCCACTTCATCCTTCTCACGCATCAATCTAGGTATAATGGGACCTCCGAACTACAGCTTGCGCGCATGAACGTCTATTTCAACGAGGTGGGCGATATTGCGTGACCCATTCCAAACTATCCTCGGCCTCTGATCGAGTTCGCATAGACATCCAGCAACAAGTACGTGCCACGTGCCGTGCTCGTTGACCTAGAACCTGGCACAATGGATGCGGTGCGCTCCGGCCCGCTTAGCCAGCTCTTTCGTCCCGACAACTTTGTCTTTGGACACTCAAGCGCCGGAAATAACTGGGCTAAGGGTCACTACACCGAGGGCGCCGAGTTAGTTGATCAGGTACTGGACGTGGTCCGTCGTGAGGCCGAAGGCTGCGACTCCCTCCAAGGTTTCCAAATCACCCACTCGCTCGGTGGCGGTACGGGCTCCGGCATGGGCACGCTGCTGATTTCCAAGATTCGTGAGGGTGAGATTGATACCACTGATACACATTTCGATGCACTGTCTCTCACGGTTCTAACCGCCTATTTAGAGTTTCCGGACCGTATGATGGCTACCTTCAGTGTAGTACCGTCTCCTAAGGTTTCTGATACCGTCGTGGAGCCGTATAATGCCACGCTGTCGGTCCACCAGCTGGTTGAAAACTCAGATGCGACTTTCTGTATCGATAACGAGGCTCTGTATGATATCTGCAAAGGTACCCTGAAGCTGTCGAATCCTTCCTATGGCGACCTTAACCACCTCGTATCAACCGTCATGTCTGGCGTGTCAACTTCGCTGCGCTTTCCCGGACAGCTAAACTCTGACCTTCGCAAGATGGCCGTTAATTTGGTAGGAAGACTCGTTTCATCTAGGCACATATCACTGTAATCGAAGAATGTTGTGGCTAAGCATTCCTCCTCGTCTAGGTTCCGTTCCCCCGCCTACACTTCTTCATGGTTGGCTTTGCGCCCCTCACTAGCCGTGGCTCGCACTCATTCAGTGCTGTCTCTATCCCCGAGCTTACCCAGCAGCTGTTTGACCCCAGGAACATGATGACAGGCTCTGATTTTCGAAACGGCCGCTACCTGACCTGCTCTGCTATCTTTCGCGGAAAGGTGTCTGCGAAGGAGGTGGAGGACCAGATGCACAAGATTCAGCAGAAGAACTCGGCTTACTTTGTTGAATGGATTCCCAATAACGTGCAGACGAGTCTATGCTCTGTCCCGCCGCAGGGGTTGAAGATGTCGTCCACTTTTGTCGGTAACTCGACCGCCATCCAAGAGATCTTTAAGCGCGTTGGCGAGCAGTTCACCGCTATGTTCCGCCGCAAGGCCTTCTTGCACTGGTATACCGGAGAAGGCATGGACGAGATGGAGTTTACGGAGGCTGAGTCCAATATGAATGACCTGGTATCGGAGTACCAGCAGTATCAGGACGCAGCCATCGACGACGACGTCTATAGCGTGGAGGAGTATGACGAGGAGGAAGTCCCCGCTAAGGTCGACGCTTAGTCTATCGCAACCTTGTGGTCGGATAGCACATGGCTTGTCAGAGTGGGCTCACATAAGGTCATGACGCCCTGTAGAAGCAGCGACTACTGAAGGACAATCATTATATACCCAACAGGGCTTGGTGGTCGCTAGGCGGTCTATATAGTTCGCGCTATTACGAATTAAAGATCCCACATAGCTCTCGAGTGGTTGAAAGACGTCTAACAACCTCAAACAGAGCCTCGTGATACGTCAGATAAAAGACTCATCATCCTTGACGGTCAGGAAAGCCATGCACAGGTCAGACTTTTGCGGTTTTCACCGTAAATCCTCCCGCTATAAGACCGCTGACGAGCATCCAGGATGAATGGATAGTTACGTGCCTTCCGAACAATGTCTACTGCTGTTACCTACCAGCACATTGTTCTCATTATTTGCAGCTATTAGATAATGGAATTTTTAATATCATCAAAGGTGCGTATCGGAAGGAACTCTAAAACCTGGCTAGTTTGATTGATTCTACACCGGACAATTAAGCCAACTTTATTCAGACATATGCGAAAGTCGGAGAGGCGCGTATGAGAAAGGAGATGATATTATACGACTAGAGACCTACTGGACATTGGCCTATTTGACTGAGAGCAGAGATGTGATTTCTATTGCACAAGAATGCCGGGGATATGCTTATACTGGATCTCTGGAGGTCTCGCCTAGGAGTCTACAACCCCTGAACATAAACGGCTTCAAAGGCAGGCCCTTTGCGGTCTAGACTTCCATGTCTATCATCGAGACTCTTGTAGCTCACTTATTGAGCATGATCATCCTTGACAAGCCTCCCCCAACACCAAAGTTCTTTGCAGGCTTGGGCAGAGTCGCACAGCGAGTCGAGACTGGATACCCAACGGTACAGGCACAATAGTCATCACTGGTCACGATCTTAATTGTTAATCCACCTCATTCCTCCACCACGGTGCTCAATCCCGCCGAGGCCATCCTGCGGACGTCTTCCCTTCATCAGGATCAACAAGTACTCTACATCTAAAAACGAGACAGTCTTCAACATCTCATAGAGCGGTGAATTATGAGTTATATTGGCTCTGAGCTGGCTCTGAATATCAGTAGACCCAGCCACCACCTTGTGGCAAGTTAACATCTCTGACTGGCCAATTATCTGTGAATCTCGAATCGGTGAAGCTGGAAGCAAAGGCAATCGCTGAGTCTTGACACCCAATTAACACCCTCGTGATATCGAATATACTTATCGTCCAACCAAGAACTAATCTAAATCTGCATCTTTCAACATATCACCAGCGTCTACACCGAGTTTTGGATAAGTAATCTCCCTGTAGCCCACTTGTTTGAGCGGTTCAGCCCGTCAGAGGCAAGGTCGCTGTTCTGTGGGGGCCGAAACAAAATGTTACCGAAGTCATCTGACACTAGATTCGCTCGTTATTCATTTACAAACCACGCATAAGTGTGCATCCTGTTGCACGGCCTTCCGATGGGCTCGCTCGTCCCGTTTGAGCCTCAATGAACAAGGCCAACAGGGGAAGAAGTGCAAGACGGCGCTTAGATAAATTCCGCATTCAAGGTGCTGAATACAGTGTTTGTATATTGTTGGTCCATTTGGGCGCGTAAAAACTATTGCGCGGTTGTTAGACATCTCTGGTATGAGTACTCGAAATTGAAAGCTCTAAACAGTACATGTGCTAAGAGCGCCTGATAGTTTAACTTTTAAGATACGATACGATACAATCCATTAAGCCCGGCGGCTTATTCAACCGAAAGGGCACACTAGTCACTGATGCTTACGTACATTGCCTGCTTCTCATCCTCGTTTTCACAAGACCATACTGTGCCGTCTACTGCTCAATTTGTGCCCGCATTTCAAATAGCCCATACTAGACCTTACCTTTTCTCCAAACAAGTAGATGGCTAACAATGGCGCTTTTAAGTAAAACACAGAAAGAGCAGAAGAGCCTCTGAACCTGTACGTGACTGTGTAGTCCACCAGTTCTGACACCTTGTTAGCTGGCGTTCGAACTTACGGAACCACTGGGGAGCCTAAAACTACCTCTTGTCTTCTATCAATTCATCTGATGTAGGCTTTAGATGGATGTTTGCTCTTCCGTCCAACAATCTCGCTCGTGAGATAAGACTATGATCGATTACCATTTGCCTTTGACGAAACCATTATTTTAATGCTGGGTAATTATATACCTTGGTCTAGCCGTTGAGCCACAGATGCTCTTCGAAATGTCTTTTAGGATGTTTGCTTCGATGTAGTATCAGGAATTACTGGATGTCCAATAGCGACCAGCTACGCTGTCATACAAAATGCAGATATATATATTGCTACCTCCTGCAAGGCGAGACAGGCACCGTGGGTTCGACATGGGTTAGGCTCTATTCTCTATCCCTTGGGGTGTATGTGACAGTTTGCCGTCGACTAACAGTATGTACTTGAATTCGCCCATCACTATTGCATCTACCAATAATGGCCGGCAGTGATAAATTTGAGCCTGGGCACCCTCACCAACAGCCCCGTGTTCAATTGACAAGATCGTGATATCCGGTACGATAATATTCTTCTTATACACATGATTCCTGTCTTAAAACATGTTCTAGAGGCACTTGTCTATCCTGGATGCGGCAATGTATACGACATACCTACCTATGAAAAAGAGGGATATGATTTTAGTAGCATATGAAAATACAATATAAGCTATAAATTCTTAGAACTTGAATAGTTTTCTTTGCATACAGCGGTCGTGATGATTTCGTTCTCGTTACTCATTAACCCATCCATCATCAAGACGGCTACTTAGAATGACCAACCAATCCCTTTACATTATTACATCATAATAATTCCCTGATTAAGCTCCATTTCGATAGACCTGTGCTCCCTGATTTCTGAACATGACTATGTCTCTTCGCTGGAGAATCATCAGTGCTCGATTCAACGGCTGCTCACTGTAACCCCTACCCTCTACCATCTCTCTCCGTAGTGTGGACAGGCTTGTGCTCCATCCTATAGGTAGACGGCGCTTGAGCTCATTCTCGAGACGGTTCACCTCATCATTCAACTCACGGCTACCCTGGTTGCTGCCCTGGTTGGCCGCGTCCATGGTAGAGCATAGGAATAGCCGGATAGCCTCATCAACGTGCGCCTCGGTGGCGACGGGAGAGAGGGTGAGTTTGGCAAGAGACTCGGTGATACGCACGATAGCTTCCAGCTGACGGATTGTGATGGGAATAGAGGAGCGGGTGTTGGCTTCTATTTCGGAGTCGTGGATTTGGCGACGGATAGAGACAAAGTGAGAGGAGAGCTTCTCAGCTGCTTCGGGACTGAGTCGAGGAGCGCAGCGACTTTGAGAGGTTAGTATACATGGCGGAAGAGCCAAAAGGAACTGAGCAACTTACGTCTTACAGTAGGTTATATATCTTCGCATCTTGTCGATAGGGATCTCAGACTCGACCATTTCGTCGGCTCCCCGACCATTCATCTGGATACCAAGAACGTGCTTGGCCATCTTCTCGTCCTTCTCGCGGCTATGATCATCCTTGACAATGAAAATCATGTCGAAACGCGACAGGATGGTGGTTTGGAAATCGATATTCTCTCCAGGAGTTTTCATGTCATCGTATCGACCAAAGATTGGATTGGCAGCAGCCAGGACTGATGTTCGTGCGTTGAGAATGGTGGTGATACCGGCCTTGGCGATGGAAATGGTTTGCTGTTCCATGGCCTCGTGGATAGCGACTCGGTCTTCAGCTCGCATTTTATCAAACTCATCAATACACACTACTCCACCATCGGCCAGAACCATAGCACCACCTTCAAGATAGAACTCGCGGGTAGACTGATCACGCTGGACGGACGCTGTCAAACCAGCGGCAGATGAACCTTTTCCGGAGGTGTAGATAGAGATGGGTGCTACCTTCTCGACAAACTTTAGAAGTTGAGACTTGGCCGTACCAGGATCACCGAGAAGTAGTACGTTGATATCGCCTCTAAGTTTCATGCCATCAGGGAGGTTTTTTTTTGAGCCACCTAACAGGAGGCAGAGAATTGACTTCTTGATGTCCTGGTGTCCGTAAATTGAAGGAGCGATACAAGTAGCCATGACATTGTAAATGTCTGGCCGTCTGCTCAGCTCCAAGAATTCTTGCTCTTCCTCCTCTGAGAAAGTGGCGTTGCCCTTGGCTGCTTGATCAATGTCTGACCGGATTCCAACTGCCCTTAGATAAGGGGTGCGGATAGCCACTGCGCCACCGTTGGATGAGTTTTGGAGGCCTTATTTTGGTAGATGGAGAAGATGCCCATGACAGTGCACCTCGATCCCGGAACGACCCGGTTTGTTAGGTATCTGTCGGCTGAGATGAGAACATGTCTGGGCAGTTCTCCAACAGGGACTTGATCAGGCGCTTCCTGAAGCTTGATGATCTGCTGGTCGACGAAGTGTGACTTCTCGTGTACGACAAAGTACGGATCCAAGGGGCACTTTGGCGTGGGATCGTTGGGAATTCTGCTACGAGCGCATTGTCGGGGCAGAGAGACACCAGTGAATCCACCCAAGATAGGAATGGCTTGTGTGTGTCCGCAATTTCGACATTGTATATGAAGTTCTGTTACTTTTGAGGACATAACGGAGGCACCGATGACGATACCTGGTACCCGGACCAATCGAGCAATAGCCATCGAATCGAGATTGCGGATGGACACATCGTCTGCGTTGGAATGAAGAAGGAGCTGGTGCTTGGGGATCTCGACTTTGGGCTCGTGAGGGAAGACAATGCGGTGGGTGCACTTCATCAAAGCATATTCGAACTATGGGATGTCAGAAGTTGGAGAATTAAGCTGTTGCATAGTCCTTACCAAAGGGATGACCTCGGCTGGCTCAGATGTCAACTGATGCGCCAACTCCTCGTTAAAGCCGATCAAGTCATTGATGTTGACATCGCAGTAGTACCTCTTTAGCAGTGCGTTCTCTCGTAGTTGATCTCTGCCGAAGCGTCAGTATATCAAGTCATGTAACCCGTGGGCAATCGGCGCAAACCTGTAGACAAAGTTGTTGTCAAGCCGAAAGTCAAGGATGAAGGTTTCGAGCTGCGTTTGAAGCTGTAGGCGAGTATCTCTATTCTCACCGAAACTCGGCTCGTAGACGTGCGCAGAGTAGATCGATCCGCGGTCCATTGTGATGTGATTTGTTAATACTCTGATATCACCTTGGCTCGTCTGCGAGCACAAAAGTTGACAGGGACTCGAGAGATCTTATTTGTGAAATATGGAGGGGCTTGCTCCGCGTTGGTAGGGTAACTAAGTGGATGCAATAATGTATGTACGCGACCCTTGAGAGAAAGACGCAACGCGTGGTTATCCCTTTGACCCGCATAGCCCTTATCCAATGTAGCTAGCTGCACTCAACCCCACGTACAGAATAGTTACAAAGTTCTAAGTTAATAAGGCACTATAAGGCCAGTCCCTTATCTGTATCTTAGCTGCATTCAGCTTAGGTATAGAGTTCACTAGGTATAGTGACTATTGTGAATTTGTGACATAATTTAGATGTATTAGTAAATTGATAAGCACTTATCCATTTGAGCCCCTAAGCGTGACTTGGGAAAAGGGCTATGCCGGTCAAAGGGATAGTGGTTGCTGTGCTGAAGGAATAGGGCAGTGATAGAGCTCGACTTATCATCCCATGTCAGCGCCAAGGAAATACCCATAGGCTCATGGGGGCCAGCGAGCCAACCTTGCTTGCTCGGTTGGGGCACAAATTGAGGGACATCGGCGGGGCCCGATTTTAGCTGTGTTTTACAGAGTAGGGCTTTGACCATCTTTTGAGCTTCATATGCTGCCTAGGATCATTGTAAAGCCACGGTATTCTAAACGAGAGATCCAAGACAGCCTGAGCTTTACTGCATTTTTAACCGCACCAAAGGGCATCGGAAAACAACTGTCGTTGGTTCGACCAACGAGTGTGTGTGCCTCGTTTTTAATGTAATGCTGTATCAAGGTGCAGCTTCTGGATTGCATCTAGCATTAACCGGCTCTAAGCCTAAGGCGCAACCGCCTCGCCTGGGTGGCAACTCAGTGACGCCTGGCAAGGGCCCATTAAATACGCGGTCTAAAGAGGTGACCAAGAGAGGGCACTAATGAGCGACTGGTTTGCCGGCTAAGGTCCTCAAATTTCCGGAATACATGGGGGTCGAAGTCTGGATCTCTGGTGGTACCAAACCCGTACGGAAAATGGGAGGCCAGTCTAAAAGTTTGAGAGACTGGAGATGGGCATTGCAAATCGACGAGTTCTTGCTCACTGCAGACCAGAGTTTTAGGTCAACAATTGGTTGGTTATTGTGGCTCGACGCCCCACGCCCCACTACAATACAACCCCATCTCTCTATACTGTGATTGGATAGGAGTCCTCGGAGTGCGTCTGGCCGTTGTGATTGGCCATTGGAAACTGGAAATCAAGTTGAGGCGAGACCAATGACGCGCCATGACGCGTCGCGTCTCAACTGAATCTGCAAACCTCGAGCGTCGTACCAGGACTATGAGGAAGAGCATGAGATGAGTTCGTCTGGGCAGCTGCGTTTAGAAGCTAAGTCGATTTCCATGGATTGATATCCCAGGACCTTTGAATGACTTATCAATGTGGCCTTTGCGGCAGTCCATGGCCCAATATCGTTCTGAGGGGTAAATCTCCCTTCACAGTGCAAAGCCATCCCCAGCTGGAATTTCACTACCTGTCAACTGAGCCCTCACCTGGCTCATTTCTCTAGTAGGCCCTTGTATTCTGTCTGAACGCTTGGATGCTGTCTCTCTAGCTCAATCCTAGCCTCGCCTCCTCCATAACTAACTCACTCTATCTTATTCTACCGATTCTGTCGACGCTTTGGACGCTGTTGATATGTTCAGCTTCAAATTATTTCGCTATATTTTATCCTTAAGCTCGTTTTCCCATCCCCGCTTGGAGGACTTCTTGCTGTCCTTAGACTTCCTAGATATGCCGATCCACTTCCCCGACTCTCATTCCTTAGGGGTCGCTTTAAATTTCAATCGCACCAGCCCCGTCTCGTCGTTTGCTTTTCGCAGGATGCAGTTACCATCATTGTGCTGATAAGTGTCGGCTTTGTTTGAACCGCCGGCAATCTCCTCTGTATGTATTCAGGCTAACCATCAAGATTCTGATAGGCCTAGAAACGCTCTTCCACGTTAGACATACTCTGCTATCAACAATGGTATATCACGTATAGCAACTGAGTGACACCCGACCATTTAGTGAGCAATTTATATTTTTTTCAAGATGCGAAAGGAATTTATTATTTCAGTTCTAATGCACAGTGTAAGAATTTGATGATCTTGACGTAACTTAATTCCATTCAAATAAAATAAACGCATGGTTAATAGCTGAAGCTTATAGCCTGTCCGTCAAGACCTTGTTTATCTTGGCAATGCGGGCGCAGACGCTGAGATCAATGGTTCGGTCGCCGACCGCGACAATAAGTCCTCCAATAATCTCAGGGTCGATCTGTATCAATAAACGTTAAGCTAGGGCCGAAACGAATGCCGACTGGCGAAAAGTATAACGTACCTTGTTGGTGACCTTAAGCTTCTTGCCCTGACCGGCATATGAGGACTTGGAAACAGCAGTCTCTAGTCGCGAAAGAGTTTTATTATCCAGACGTTCGGCGCTCGTGATGATCATCTCTATTTCACCCCGCTTGGCGGACATCAGCTCACCAAACTTCTCGCACACACCCTGAAGGTGACCCAGTCGATTATTCTCAGCGAGAGTCTGTAGCAAATTCTTGACAGTCGCAACGTTGGTACCTGTATGCTTGCTCAGCTCGGCTACGATCGCTGACTTGTCCTCGGCGGTCAGCCTCGGCGTTGACAGGACTTTCGTCAACTTGGTGTCCTTCAAAAAGACGCTGCTCAGGTTGACGATGGCTTTGGCGGTGAGGTCGAGGGTTGACATCTTGGCCGCGGCAGTATACTAAATTAACACAGTCAGCATAAGATAATTCGGCTCTACCTCACTCAACATAGCCGCATTGGCCCATTAGAAAGGACGACACAGCGGCATACTAGGGCGGTGGCATAAGTTCCATCAAGGCCATGAAGGTAGACTGGGGGTCGGCTGTCATTGGCGGCGCCGGTGAAGTTTCGTGCAGTCTCTACTCGGAGGAAAGGGGTAGGATGGAGAGTCGCGGCACGGATGGTACGGAAGACTTGCCGCGAGAACATGGCTATGGCTGAGGGATTGGGATGGGTTCGATGTTGCGATGCAGGCGTTCTTAAAACTTGGGTTTCTTGGTTGTGGTTTCGTTGTTGGGCAGTTTTGGAAGCTTGTGTGTCGCTCTGAACGTGAATGAACAGCAGCAATGTGTTGATTGATTGCCTAAGACGCGGGGTCAATCCGACTTTTAACATAGGCTTCTCTTGAAGCATGTAACTGGATAGCCAAACATGGTTGTCTCTTAAGGCTTGTCCGCATCTTGCCTTTGCATGTGCATGATGCGCTACCAAATTGAGGCGCAACGGCCAATCATAAGCATCATGTTACCTAAGAGACGCTGGTGGGTGATACACAATTCAAAAAAGGGGGTGTGCAACAAAGGGCGTGTGCAGAGGAAACCGAATTGACCTACTGAGGAAGGCTTCATAACGAGGCATCAGGTCGGTGCCTTTGTACTAATACACTCTCCTAGCTGCGTTGACATTTTGACGTAACTAGCCGGGAGGCTGGGAATGTATCAGATTGATGTCAATGTGTCAGACAGAAAAGAGTTTCCGTCTGTTGTCACGAACGATGGACCGGACCCCCCACCCCCCCCGCCAATCAAGTAAGATAAGATATCAGTAAATCATTCACCAATGGCATCACCATTCTCTAGTCCACAATCTACTGATATCGCCCCAATTGTACGTTAGAGCTACCCTCCGCGGGTCTAACACAATGCCTTGCATTATTTAATCTCACCCTTGGAATTACGCCCGATACCTCTCATTCTGGGGCCTCTTCTAGCAAAGCTATCTCACAACCATAGGGTCATCCCGCTATCAACGTACATCATAATAGTATTCCTTTCTCTGCGCAAAGCTGCCACTAAATTATTTTCTCCGCTATATCTTCCTTGAAGTTATACACTTCTGCAATCAATTCTTTGTCGTCGTGGAATCTCTCTATCTCTTTTCCGCAAGTTTCGAAACAAGCTTCCACAAACCATTCGGACTGTCGCGTCTGCCACGAGCAGGAACACCATTCTAAGTGTAACGTAACCCTTTGATCCACTCGATATTGGTGCTTGTTGGAACCGCGTCAGGAATAGCCATATCTGTAGGGCTGTGAGGAGCCTAATCCATTTTCCACCAACAAACTGCTAATCAGTTAGGCCCCCTCCAGAGCTATTTCTGCTGCGCGTATCTTCCGGGAGCTACATCGGCAGGCTCAGGATGCAAATATAGAATCCAGTGATGACTGGGGCTGTGCTGCTCATCGTGAAGCGCAACAGTTGCGCGGTTGCAGTACTGGTGTAAAGCGCAGTCCTGCAGCCACTCAGGTTTACACTCCGGCTCCGGCTCCGGCTCCACATAGTAAAGTCGGTAAAATGACTATAGAGGAGAGAAAGGTTGTGGCGTTAGAGGCTATCGCCGAGGCTGCTCGACTCTGGGTTGTAAGTGTTTGCGCCGATAGCTATATATATTTCGTCTGCTAAAACGATGTATAGAAGCTCAATAACCCCAACAAGGAAAGCAAGACCGATGAGAGGAGCGGATCTAGATGAGTGAGTGCTGCCATTGCCAAGGAAGAGGTGGTTAGCATAGCTGAGGCATATTCAGAACGCGGGATAAAATTATCGAGCATTGGGAGGCAACTGAATTGAACGCAATGACAAAAACTTCCTAACACGATGCGCTTAATTAATTGAAATTGTGATGGGCGTTAAGATCCAGCTGCAGGTCTGCGAAAAAGACTCAAAAGAAGACGAAATTTGTGTAAAGCTCGGGCTCTTTACAGGATGACGCTACCTGGGATTGCATTCACATGGGTGATACTCAAGACCAAAAGTTGGCCTTCCTTCGTGATGACTTCGTTCCTCTTGAAGAGAAATATGAATCACGGGATACCCTATCTTGCGCGTTTAACGTCTGGATCATGACTAGGGGCTACGTATCCATAACTGGAAGGCCAACCAAGGACGAAGCCGGCAGGCAAACGATAACATTAATATGTGGCCGCCGCCACAACTATCCTATTAACTTACAAAGGCGGAGACTAGAGGTGAATACTAAAACAATAAGCTGCAAATTACTGGTACTAGGCAAAGGGGACCGTTGTCGGATGTGATATAATACCAGTCCGCTATCTTCCTAAACTCTTCGATAAATCATTGCTTCTGAAACTCTTTACCTTTGAAGATAATTCCTGGCTTCAGAAGACGGCCATCTGCAGTCACGGCTTGGATGAAGCTAGTCCAAGCGCGGGACTGAGAGCCCTTGAGAAAGGCCTTCCGCTTCGGATCACTACTACCGATGACCAAGGAGTCCAAGCCTGTAAACATGATTTCCTGGTAAGCTCATAGGCAATAAAAGACAATGCTCACCATATCCTGCCATAATACCGCCCTCGTCAACATTAACCGTGTTCTCGGGCTCGATCTAACCATACTCTCGTTCGCGAATATCCAAGTACTAATTGACGGCCATCGGAGTGAAGGAATTAAATCTCGATGCCTTCTGGCGTCTTCCTATCTTTGTTTTGATAGCTGGATGGGGTTTCACGAATCTGGAAGTCCAATGTACACCGATGGGCCTTTCCGGCCTTGCTGTCGTAGGAGGGCAGCAACTGTAGCGCGAACTTGGCTGCGGGAAGGAGCATAGCCAAGGCTTCTTGCCTCGGTATCCATGTGACTAACCTGGTCTCCTGCGACTTGGATAACAGCTGGGCCGGCTGAGTGACCTCGGATTTTGACGGCAGGCCTCTTAACCGGTCTGAAAGAGTCGTTTGGGGCCTGTCGTGCTTCTGGGCGGATCGGTTTGCGAAAGGCCGTTCTCCGTGACATCTAGCATTTGCCTCGACAATTCCATCTTGTGTATAAGATCATCGAGGCATTTTCAAGACGGCTACATGTGTCTGTTGGAGGTAAAACCATTCATTAAGGTCCGAGAAGGCCAAGTCATGGAGAGTCATTTTACGTTGGTGGTGTGCGACCAAGCGACTTACGTCACGTAAAAAGCAATGTGATATTGTTGAACATTAATGTGAATGATAAGCATCTGCACCAAACAAGTATGAGCCCCAATAATTCTAACCCTCCTCAATTGAAATCACCAGAAAAGCACAACAGACCGTGAAATCAATTGAAATTAATCGCTAATCTCTTCTTCGGACATTGCAACAACTATCTGACATGTTCTTGCATTATGTCCTATCTTTCCACATCCTCCACAGCGCCTTTCCCTCGGTCATGCCGACCCTCCTTGACCTCCACTTGTTGACGATGCGCCCTCTACCCGCCCATCTACATTCATATGATCAATTACCTCCCTTGCTTCCTTACTGTCAGCACTCCTCCTTTTTGAAGTCTGGTTCTTTTTGCTCTCCGCCGCTGGCTTAGTGTCTCATTCGCCTGTTGAAGGTCACGGACCTGAGCTCTCAATAAGGTATTCTCATGCATTATTGCCTTTGTTCCCTTAGACACTTTAATGCTTCCAGAATTGACACTGGAGAGCTACTTTGGTGTCTTCTAATTCGTCTATCGAGGTATTCAGACTGAGATTGGGCTTCAAGTACCGTCTTGGGCGTCTTTGAACCCATGGGGTAGAAGGGCCGGCTTCCTCCTCAACCGGCGTTGGCGTCCGTAGCTGCACATCAGGCTTCGAAACCACATTTCTGGGTCAAATGGAACAAGCCCAGCCCCTTTGAAAGCTGCCTTGATGTTTCTTTCCGCCATAGTGGCCTTAAATGCGGCGTAAAAGGTGGGAAAGAATTCGGTTTGGAAACGTGGGTTATGGAGCATCGGATCAGATGCTCGATTTCTCGACCATAAGCCTTCTTAGCACCCCAAAGCACCCAATATCAAGAGGCTGAAGCAGATGAGACGAATGGGGCGGCATACACAGTGTGGTGATCTTGTTTTCCTGGCAATATCTCTCAAAGTCGACAAAGTGGCGATTTTCGTGCCCATCGAGGATTAAAAGACGATAGGGCCGAGTAGATCGATTGGCTGTACACCGATTAAAGTGCTTCAGCCGCTCAAGGCCTAGCTCATTATCTGTCCAGCCATTGGGAGATGTTGCAATAGCCCAATCGTCCGGGAGGTTGTTCTCTGGTACCAGGTGGCGAGATGATACTGACCCGCACCAATGATGAACGGCGGGATCGCCCAGCCTTCCGCATTTATCGCCTGGATGACAGTAACCCATTCCCGGTTTCCCGGCTGCACTGAATTTGGTCTTGAACGTCTTTCTGAGCCTGCGACGACCATTCCCAAGGTGATACCATATTTTGCGATTGTGTTCTCGACAAGCCTAAACCAATTTCGAATGACAGTGGGGTGTTCGCATTTGGCTCTCTGGTAGTCATATGTACGAAAATAGCGCGTCTTAAGCTCCTTGTGCCGCTTGACGAAGTTGGAAGCCCAGCGCTTGCCCATTTCTTCCACACCACGCAATCGCGGGGGAAATCCTCGCGAATCTAGGTCGAGAATGAACCGAACTATGATATGTTCCTCTAGATTAAATAGCTTACGTGATTTAGGGATCCAATCGCGTTGAGATTGAATGCCATTGTGCCGGCGACGTAAGGCATAATAGTTGACCTTGTAGAGTCTTGCAGTAGGTCGGAGCTTTAAATTTGGGTCAGTTTGAAGGGTACGAAGTGCCAGAAGCATATTACCCTCGGAATACTGACGAGATATCTTTTTTCGTTGTGAATCAATTGATCAAATAAAGAATTGTAAGGTTGGGGGATTTTTGGTGCACATACTTGTTTGGTGCACATGCTTATCATGCACGTTATATGATCCTCAGTAAAATGATGCTTTTTTTCAAGTAGATAACTTCAAGCCGGGCCATGAACCGTGTATTTGAAAACCGGCAGTTTGTATGGGTAATTTTCTTTTTTGCTTACCGGTAGGTGGGTGTTACCGGTGGGTGGGTACTGCATGGTATGTAACTGACCTTTCAACAACACATTATCTTCCACTCCCGCAATACTGCTTCATCATGACCATTCCAGAGCTCACAATCACTCCTAACATCAAGCCACCAGTGAACTTTCCTCCCAAAACGGACAAGCCTCGCCCGGACGTTTGCGGCACGACAAAAACTTCCCCAAGAAAAGCTCAGTACTTCTCGTGCCTGTCCAAAGCCGTGGTCTGGTGCATGCTAGTCAAGTCCTCGATATATTTCTGCAGCACCTTTTTGTTGCTGTCTAGCTTCTCGTTTCCCTTTTCAGCTGCCTCGATGCGGTTAAAGATGAGGAGTAGCGAGTCCTGCAAAGCTTTCGCATGCCTATGTCCACAGGAACAAATATTAGTTAGCAGTTCAAGCGAGGGCAGCCCTCGGGCACCTTTTAACGTGCATAGGAAGATTCAATAGTCTTCACTAACCGGTGCAATCCAGTATGCATTTCACACTTCAACGCTTCGACCTCTTCGCTCGTCATCCGCGGGCTCATGGCCTGGGTGTTATCCGGTTCAATTGCTGTCTCGAGAGGCTCGCTGGTATCTTGGCCAGGAGCAAGGATGGGCGAAGGCGGCTGGTGCCCTGACAAGGCAACCAGCCCAGTCATAGCTAGAGGTGTAACATCAAGAGCTGATAAATACATAGGATAGCTGGAAACAATTGTGGGGAGGAAACTTATGAGAATTGTGACTGAAATGGAGCTGTCGAATATGGGTTCGTGAACCCAAGGGCTGCGGGGGCTGGGCTCAAGCATAGATGTAATCCGAGGTAAATGACGCACGTTACATGTCGCCGACTTGGAAGTGTTGTCATGGTTGATGAATTTTGGAGTCAGAATGACGTAAACTCTCTGTGGAGTCGATGGTCAAATGGATTGGTTGCAGAAAACTTTTATTGCCTGCATGTACCTTAGGACCGTGATTCCTTTAGTTTGAGACGCAAGAGTAGGTTCGGCAACAGCAGCGGGGTCGCAGCGGACCAGCCAAGAGCAGGAGGGGCCCCATAGGGACACGCCTACAGCTGACGCGTAGGCGTGCGGATTATGTCAGCCCTCAATTTGGCCCAAACTCCACTGTCGCAGGTTTCAGGGGCTTCACCCATTGCTGCTTTCGCTAGCCACAATTGTAGTCCCCAAGTGCAGGCTTCATTATGGCACGAACGACATTTCCTGATGATGCGCTCCCGCCAGAAGGTGCATACGACTCACGAGAGGCTCTGCTCACCGCTATCAACGAGTGGGCGGCACCGAGAGGCTACGCGTTCATAACTGGAAGATCTTCACGGTCAACTAGCGGCAGGCAGATTATCGCCTACGCATGCGATCGATGGTGTCGTCCGCCTAGCGTGTCAAAAGACCGCCAGCGTAAGACTACTACGCGAGGAACTAATTGCCGGTTCTCGATTATCGCGAAGGAATCCCTAGATACAGGGTGGTGCGAGTCCAGCGTCAGTAGTTTATTATTGTAGTTTTATTGACAGTGCCCCAAAATGGACTAAATATGGCGCATGCCCAGTGTGCCAAAGACGCTAGTGCGATCCCTGCCCTTCGCACTTACTAACAGCAATTGAATGAGCAACAGTGATCACAAGGGAATTTAGACACCGTGTAGGGCCGGATAAGATGATTAGGATAATTCAGGGTGTGCCTTACAAGAGGTAAGTCATTGTAAGTCGGTCTCGATACGGGTCTCCGAAGCCCGGACGCCGAAGCACCGAGGTGCTGTTATGACTGAGACGTGGCGGGAGTTGATTTCGGCACTGTCTGCGCACATGGCATGCGCCACGCTTAGTCCGTTTTAGGGTATTTCCATTAAAACTACAATAATATACTACTGACGCTGGACCCGCATCACCCTGTAAAGCAACTTGGTCTTTAAGGCATCACGAGCCAAGCTGCCACAAATCGCCCATCCAGTCCATCGGCAGCTCTCCGATGCGGACAAGTCGACAGTCAGCCGCCTTACGAATGCAGGAGTAGCGCCAAAGGATATCAGAACTTACATCCATCAGAATTCGAACACCATTGCAACACAGCAAGATATTTATAATCGTATCGCAGATAGCAAACGAGAACTTTGTGAGGGTCAAAGTACTATATACGCCTTTGCTAACAACTAGATAAGGAAGGGTTCTAGAACGAATATGGCTTAATTCGGATAACCGAATTATAGCAGTATTTTTGCCTATTTAGATTATTAGCTTACCTTTAGGCCTACCTAGACCTGCTTTTCCTTAATTATATATATAAGATAAATAAATACAGGATATTATACTTAATATAGTTAGCATTAACGCCTGCTAGCGATTATTCTATATAGCCTTTACATTCCTTAGCAGTAAGACTAAGCAGACTACCTATTAGCCTTAGATTGCTTAGGTCCCTATATAAGCTCTGCTATATAAGGCTTCTATAGTTATCCTAACAGACTGCAATAAGGCTTATATAAACGCATAGAAATCTGCTTTCTATCCTCAATTTCACTTTATGCCTATAGTATATAAATAAGAAGTCCTCTATTATTACTAGCTAATATTTATATACTACTAATAAGGACTAAAGGCCTATTAGTAAAGTCTGGCTAATTAAAATAAGTTTTTTAATTATTAGTATTTAATTATAAAGTATAATGGAATGGGTTTTAAACAGGTAAACTAGTCCATACTAGGTTTAATGTTTACAGAGTTATAAGGCGTTATACTAAGCAGTTATAAAGTATTATATCTCTTAATAGTAAATAAAGCAGGTTAGGCATATTTAGGTAAAGAAGTCTTATTAATAGCTAGTAAGCTAAGTTCTATAAAAGTGCTAATAAGTATGTTCTATATACTAAAGTAATTATATAAGGAATAATAAGTCCCTAGAATAAGTTATTCCTAGAATACTGCATTCCTGGGTTACTGCGTTCTAATATTTGTCGTTCTAATATAATAAGGTTATTAATTAGTTAGTTGATATGCAGCTAGGTCCTTCTGAAGCTGGCGCCTTATATGGTTTTTGTGGGGTATATGTAATATAACTGCTAGGGTTGTAACACGATCTTTCCCCTCTGCTAGGTCTTGCCCTCAAGACCTGTTATCCTAGCTATCTAAATCCTTCTTTTAGTTAGTCTTAACTTAACCCTTTTATTATTATATTATGCGATATCTAACTATACCTTTAAATAGTATTCTTACAAATCCTATTAATCTTACAAAGTTAATAAGGAACTTAAGCAAATTTATAAAGAATATAAGCTTACTGCATATGCTAATTCTATTTATAATTTTAAAGATAAAGCCAAAATGCCTTATACTTGCTATTTCTATAGAAATAAATAGTATATAATATCTTTAGACTTTAGTTATTATAATAAGTATATTTAAAATAAAAAATCCTATAATAATATACAGGTTGCTTTTTTATATAGGTTATTATAATTTTTTATTTGTTTTTTTTTTTATATACTAACTTTCTTAAGTAATAACTTTAATAAAGTAAGAAAAGAAATTAGAAAATAATAAAGATAAGGCAAGTAAAGATTTGCTTAGGCTTTATAAGGAGATAGCTGCCTTGCAGTCTTATCTTGCTGTGGCGGCCGGTCGTTTATTGCGTATTTATAAGATTAAGGGTAGGGTAAGAGAGAAACGCTCTAAGGCTACTTATCGGGGTTTATAAGAGGTAGAGCAGCAAGATAACCTCTTATTAATACTAGATGCTTATAAAAGTGCCTTAGTAAAGGATCTTTAAATTAATTATATCCTAAATAATATTAATTAGTCTGCTCTTAGTTTAGGTAATAATTTCCTTAATGCTTTGCCTTTATTTAATTCTAGTAGAAATTCTTTAGGAGTTATTAAGTATTAGCAAGGTGTTTTAATAGTTCTTATATGTTTTTATTTTCTAGGTAATCCTTCTATTTAATAAGATATTCTATTTATTTATTAATTCTCCTTATATCTCTAATTGCTTTTACTTTATAGACTTCTAGTCCTTTAATTTCTTCTAGTTTATTACCAGTTTTAACTTATATTATATTAGCTACTAATTTAAGTAATGCAATATAAAAGATTAAATAAAGCCTAACTTTTAATAGTAGGTCTAGTTTATAATTATTTTCTAAGATTTTTCTTTTAACTTTATATAGTTTAATATACTTATAGTTTAGTTTATAGCTTAGTTATTTTATTATAATGTTTTTTATAGCTAAGTAAATTATATCTCCCTTTAAGAAGGTTAGTTTCTTAATCCTTTTTATATTATAGTATTTCTTTATTTATTTTCTAATAAATTCCAATTTTTTCCTTAATTCCTTATATAGAGCCCTTAGGTCTTTACTCTTAATTATGGCGGCTAGGTTAACTGTTTTTAGTTCTCGCGCCATATAGTATAGGTTTAAGGTAAATCTAAAGTTTGCTGCTAAAGGTGTTATTTCTATGCTTTCGTTATATGCTATATTATAGGCAAGTTAGGCGCTTAGTAACTTTTTTACTTAATTGTTTTATTTATAATTAATATAGTATTATAAGTATTATTCTAGTACTTAGTTTATTTATTTAGTTTATCTATTTATTTATAGTCTAAATGCTATTAATAGTTAGTAGTTTAGTCCTATATATACTATAAGTACTTGCCAGAACTTGCTTATAAACATAGTTCCTCTATCTATTAGGATCTTATATAGTAACCTATATTCCCTAACTATCCTGTTATAAAAGATATAGGCAAGTTGTTTTGCATTTATATCTTCTCTATAGGGTATATAATAAGAGAATTTAGTAAGTTAATTTACTATAACTAAGATGCTATTATAAAAGATTTTAATTAAGGGTTCCTCTAATAAGGGTAGCTTAGTTATATAGTCTATTATAATTAAACTCTATAATCTTTCTGCTACTTCTAGTAGTTATAGTAGGCTATAAGGTTTATATTATTATACTTTGGTTTTTATATATAAGTTATATTGTTTAATAACCTTCTCTACTGTTTTTCTAATTCCTTTTTAATTATAATGTATTTAGATGCGTTTTAGGGTTTTCTTAATGCCTTAGTGGCTGTATAGGGGATATCTATATATATCCTGTACTAGTTCTTTTCTAAACTATTTAGGTATTTATAGTTTATTATTATAGGTAGGCATTTTAACTCTGCTTTTAATAGGATCTTAAAGGTTATATTCTATAGTAGTATTTTGGATTTTATTTATTTATTTTTCCTAATTTATAGGTTTATTAATAGTAGGCTATATTAAATTATAGTTCTACTACTCTTAAGTTTTTATATTATATATATACTAAATACCCTTTTATTTCTTTTTTTAGGTATAGTTTATTATTAGGCATACTAAGAATTATTATTAAGAAATAATTATTATTAAGCTTTTCTTACTTATATATTTTATATTAATAGTATTTATAAGATAACTATAATATCTCCTTATATTATTTATTTATAAGAAATATTTAAATATTATCTTATTTATTAAATTTTCCTCTTTATATAAGGGGTTTATAGTATTATTAATATAATAGGCTTTAATATTTAATAATTTAAGTATATTAGTATTTCTATATTTTCTAGCTCTTTATATATATTATTCTTTAAGTAAGGTTTATATTCTGCTTCCTGCTTTATTAAATAGTGGTTTATAGGGTTATTTTTATTTAAGCTTAAGGCATTTATCTTCTTTATAGAGGTATTATGCAGTTACTTATATTGCTCCTCCTCTATATCTTATACTTTAGGAGTATTAGTAGTAGTAAGTGTAAACTTTAGCTTTTGCCTCTTGTTTCTTATTAAAGGCTTTTTCTTTTTTCTGTAGTTTAGTTTTGGCAAATTTAGGCCTTTTATACTTTATAATATATCTTTTTTCTGTATTTATTATAATAGTTATTTTATCTTATTAGGTAATTATCTTTATAAGGATATTATTTATATATTTAAATGCCTAAG